AGTTTTCTCAATGCCTCTTAAGGAAAGTGATTCAAGTTCTTTTAATTTGTTAGTCCAGTCCTATCATCTTGGACCAAAATCCTGAATGAAAACATCTCTAAGTTTTGAGAAAATTCAGGTCCTTGTTTATCACACCTACTTTACAGCTGGATCTAGTTTCCATATCTGTTCAAAATTAGTGTCTTTGATGTAAATTCTTATAAAAGCATTCACCTTGATAGCAGAATACTACTTTCCTCTGTTGACTGGTAACTCAGTTTTTGCTGCATTATTAGAAATAATGCAGTGCTTTACAGATTTATCAAAATGATCAGCCTATAATGTTGTCACTAAATGTATCTGTATCACTCAGTGTAATAGGGCTGTAGCACGACTAAAGTAAATCTCACTTTATGTTCTGCAGTATCAGTTTTAAAAGAGAGTTTGAGTTCTGTTACAAACACTCAATTGTCTAAGTTTTTAATTTGATTCTCATGAACAGTAAATTAATTTTCCGTTTGAAAGGGAAGTCAGGGAGGATTTGCTTTGTTGCCTTTTCTCTTTCTCTTTGAAAAAACATCTAAGAGTTTGTGGTGCATTTTTTAGCAGAGTGCACCATCAATAATACTACTATGTGTCCAGGGTTTGGCACAACTTTTCTTTCTGGTTTGTGGCCATCTCCTTAACAAGGTCACACAAATTCCATCAGGTAATGAGTAGTGCAATTTTCAGAGCAAGTCTTATCCAGCTCCTTTAGTCTTTGCTTCCAATGAAGGGCACTCCATTTAACTTACCTCTCCATGCCTCCCTTCCCTGTAATTGCTCTCTACAGTTACCATGGAGCAGATACGCCTTCCAGAACTTCAGTTTGCCTGAAAAGAATGTTAACTTTTCTTGCAATTTTTTTTTTTTTGTTGTTCATCTCAAATGTTTCTTCATTTTTGAACTTGTTTTGTGGTGTACAGTGCATTACGTATTGAAGTCACTGGGAATGAATCTCCAGACAGCAGCCAGACTGTGAAGTAGGAGAATTAGGTGGCATCAGTGGGACTTGAGATCTGGGGTTTTTTTCTAGTCTTGCTGATATTTTGCTCAGTGAGCTCTCCCTTCTCCCATCCGTAAAAAAAGAGTGGGCAGGATTTCCATCACTGAAAAACATTTTAGGATGCAGAGATGGAAATTCTAAGTAAAATATTTTAATTGGATATCTGTTTAAACCTAAAAGAAGTCAGTACTACCTGCACTGTGATGTACCAACATGGTGTTTCAAGGAGTGGAACAAAGGGGAAGCACCAGCCCTGCGTGTGGGATTGCTGTGGGCAGCAGGAGGCTGCTGGAGACCCCACAGGTTGTGTTTCCATGCTGCCTCTCCTGCACCCTGACCTGGCGAGGAAGGCATGCAGGAAGGCGATCCCCTACAGCACTTGAATGGAGTACGATTTTCACCAAGGCCACTGCTCCACTGGCTGTTTTAAATTGCCATGGGGAGAGCTCCTCAGCAGAAGGCTGTGATAGACTAGGACTGACCAAAAAGCTGTGTGTGTGTGTAAATGTTTTCCCTAAATGCTCCATTTTTGCTGTACAATAAAAGCCAAATTGGTTTTGCTTCAAAGCTTTGCTGAATTTTGTGGGCTTGCTTTCAAAAAGAAAGGATGTGTTTGGGCAGGGTTTTGTTTAATTTTTCTAATTTTTTGAAAAGTGCTGTACAACCAGATCCTGCCATTTGTGAAGTAGTTTCACGCTGAAAATATCCAGTCAGCATTGATTAGTAGTGTTGAGTCAGGTTCTTGTCTTTGCAGAAACAGTGTGCACCATTCTGTGTGTCTAGGCTGAGCCCAGACTGAAAGACCTTTTCAAGGCCTGCTCTTGATAACATGCTCTGAAATCAGTAGATAGGCCATTTCTGTAATCAGACCTCAAGGTAGCTGATGAAGTAGAAACCAGGAGAGATGTATGAAGGAGCTGGCTCACAGCTACAGCAGAGCCTGGTATCACGATGTGGAGTAGGACAAATTGCTGCTGTGATTGAGCCCTTCTGCCTCCAAACAACTCCACTTTTCCCAGTACCTCCTGGAACAGCAGCTCGCAGATTTTAGCCACTTATTTTCCGAAGGGGCCCTCAATGTCTATAGGGAGTTGAAGCTAAACCACATTTCATGCCTTCTCGTTGGGAACGCCCATTGTCAACAATGGGTCGTTGTCACAGTCCAGACAATGCTGGTGTCGTGATGAGAAACAAGTGCCTTGCTATGTGTGCCATGGTACATGCCATTGAGAAAAGCACTTGGTTTATTCCAGTAAAGCTCTGATTCAAGGGACATTGCAGAAATGTCTATTCCACATTAAAAAAAAAAAAAGAATGTGGGCTGCTCTGTTTTTGAAAACTTACACATTTTTTTCCTCTATTAAATTGCTTCCTGGTGATGGAAATGTCTGGGATTTTTTTTTTCTACTGCATCTACTTTCCTTTAGCTTGCACACCCCTGAGGTAATTAGTGTAGGTTAAAATTTACATAACTGACTTAGGGGTTTTGCAAATAGGAAAGATGGAAATTTATTCAGGGTGGTGAATAATTCATTTTAAAGCGAGTTTCCTGTTTTTTTAATCATGTAGAAGATGTATTACAGACTCATAGAGGTTTTCTGAATAGGACCTTGAGCACTGAATTTTTGATATATTTTTTTCTTAGTATAGGTAAAGAAATATTAACCATGACTCATTGCACTTTTCCTGTTCAATAAGATTTGAATAAACTTAACAAATTTATTAGGTAGATGATAGAGCTTTTTAAAAATTATCATGACACACTGTGACAAATATTTTACTAGGATCCAGAAGAAATAGTTTTAAATCATATTCCCATTGCCACTTCAGAGGCAGAGATGGAAAACAGTGCAGTTCATGCAGAGAAGCCTGATTCATATTTTCTTTTGAATATTCATTATTTAATTAAGATTAGGAAGATAAACAAGGGGATTGGACAGCTGTGGGAGTCTGGTGATAAAATAAATTTTTTTAAAGAAAACTTCTTTACTACTGACTCAGTGTAAACCTGGAGTGGTAATGTCTGAATGTTGTTACAATGTTATGGCTACTTGATATTTTACATGAAGTGGGTTTGCTATTTCATCTTATTTCTTAATCTAAGTAATCACCTCAAAAATAGCTTTCACAGACATCACCAAGAGCTACGTCCAGGAGAAAAAATGTGAACCAAACACTATTCCAACTTTCTGAACTTTGGCTTTAACTGCCTCTGCCCAAAACTGGAGACCTCTTGCCATGTTCACTGGTGACTGCAGCTTGTTGGGCTGTGGGGAGTGTCACAGAGTGGCTCTGACAGCCCTAAATAGACAGTGACCAGCTCTGCTGGAGCGGAACCCAGAGCAGAGCCAACTCCCAGCCCTTCCTGGGGATGTAGTGTGGGTGGTGATTTACCAGCCTGGCGAAGAAAATCAGTGCCAGTAGGGATGGGAGAGAAACGGGTCTGGCACTAGAGAGTCCTAGTAAATTTTAGCCAAAAACTGTCCAGGAGCAGGAGGGCTTGGTTCACACCAGTGGAGGGGCAGTGGTGAAGAAAGAATTGCCCATGACACAATTGCAATATGGAAATCTGGAAGGTCTCATTTTGAGCTAGTTCAGTAATGCCGCCTTTGTAATTGTTTGTATGTGATGCTTGACCTGGAGGATTTGTTGCATCTGTCTGAGGATAGGTGTTGGGTCTGCCAACAAATCCCACTGTTCTTTAAGGCAACCATGTTGTTGCTGCTTTAATTTTACAGTGTAAAAAAAGTTACATTAAAAGCTACATGCACAGGCTTTTGTTGGTTTTGTCTGTTTTTACACTCTGACAATTTTAATTTTGGAAATAAGTAGGATGCTTTGCCTTAGTCTTCAACAGACATTTCCAAGCTTCCTTGAAAACAGCCTGAAATTTATCAAAAAATTTGAGAGATTTGGAAGAAACAAGAGACTTTAACAGCCAGATATGGAGGCCTGATGGGGAGTTTTTAGTAGGGAGACTCTTGCATTGTCTCCCTACTAAAATGACTTTTTGCCCTTGAGGCTTGATTAGAGTAGAAGTGGAGCATAGTTTCACACTGTTTAGATGACAGTCTAGGGTACACAGTAGGATGTCTTCTTCTGTATTGGTAGTGTATTCACATTTTATGTTGGTCTCAGGGACACTCAGGAAAAGATCCAGACCTGAGAAATGCCCTTGAATGTTCAGCAAGATCTCTGAACAGTGCAGGTCATGGGGAAGAATTTTGTTTTCGTGAGTGCATAGCCCTCAGCAGTTATTGTTATGAATTTTTACACAGAGAACCCAGCCTAATACATGCTGATGCTAGCTTCTAGATGGAAAGACTTTTTTCAGCTTGCTGTGCAGGGGAAAAATAACTTCAAGCCCTCCAGCTTCATGCTGGAGAGCTGCAGAACTGTTGGGGGAGAGGACTGCTCATGTGAGTTAGCCTCCCACGTGCTGTAACCTCCAAAAAAATGCCAGTCCTTCTCACCATACATTTAAAAACTTTTGTGGTAGGACAAGAAAGGCATCGCGATTTGGAGCAGATTTCAAGCAAGGCTTTAAGATGTGAGTTCTGTGGTCTATGCCTAACTGCTTTGTGTGCTGTTTTGTTGTGTGTGTGTATGCAAACGCACTTGAATGTATGTATGCTTACACATGACTGTCTGATCAGGTCTTGCAAAAATAAGGACTGTAGGACAATACCGCATACAAATATACTTTGTATCAAAAAACTTTTAAAACAAGATGAGAGCTCAGTTTCGCTTGGAAATAATGCAGTAAATATTGGAAAACACACAGGGGGAAAAAAAAGTTATGGAAAAAAAAAGTAATAAAGTAATGGTGGCTTAAGTTCCTCATTGCTTCTGAAAAGCTTCAACCAGAAGACCTAAGGCAAACCTTTGGAAAATTGCACATTTATAGCTTTTATTTCTGTACACTTGGAAATAAATTCTGACTTCTCTTTTTCTTCTTGGCATGTGGGACTCAAAGCACAAGGGAGCTTCTCACCACAAGAAACAAAAGTGGAGAGCCAGGATTCATGAACTCTTTCAAAGGTATGTCAGATAAAGGCTACTTTGTAATTCCATCTAGCGTGCTTTCCTTCTAAAGATCTTTCAGTTCTTTACAGATATTAATGAAGGGAACTTCTCCCAAACAAAGGACCTCAGGACTAGAAAAATTAGGCCTGTACATTTGAAAGAAGTCTCTGTTTTGGATTACCTCTGTTTTCACATACCCAGCTTGGACTGCAGCTTTTAAGTGCTACACACAGTGCACTTCAAAAGGTGACCAAATGGCTTGGCCCAGCATCCTTCATCCTTGCCTCTGAAGTAGTCTTAGAGAGTGAAGGAAATAGGAATTGGAGCAAAGTTTTTGCAATCAATGACCTTCAGATAAATACATGCATCTAATTACCTGTAAAGAAATGAGCAGACAAAATAAAAACCCTCATGAATAGAGCAAAGGAAGCCACGTTCTGCTGTGACAGCTGATGAGCATGCTGCCGAGCATAAAAGAGGCCTAACTTTGCTGAATAAATTACTGTCTTCAATCTCATACTCAGAGAAAGGAGAAAAATGGTGCAACTAGGAGAGATCAAATGTGGTTATTTAAATGTTTGATGTTCAGTAATGAAAACTGTTTACCTTCATAATTGTGTATTAGCAGCAAATAAAGGCAATAGATACAGTAGTTTAAAAGTAATAAAATCAACCACAAAGTGTATTTAATTTTAAATTGAATTGCAAGCAAATGGGCGTCCTAATGAACCCCTGTGTCAATGCAACTCTAACCAAATTAAGTGAAATAATTTCCATCATGAGAAGCGAAGTAAGTACAAAGTTCCAAACAACTTCTCTCCTTGAGAATGCTTTAACTTTTCTGATGTTTCAGATCTATGAGTTAATTGGAGCCATTCGAGAGTCATCTTTTGTTATACTTCTGTTCAGGACAGCTGGACCCAAGTTGGTGTGATTAAAGCTCAGGAACAAAACTTCAGATATGGTTGACCCTGTGCTTCATGTGTTCACTTCTTAGCACTTGAATCTTGTCCTTATTTTTCGTCAGTCCTGGCTTGGGCAAAATTTCCATGTACTTCATTGCCACTAGCATCCACACAGACCTTCCAACTGATTCAGTTATTGCTTGGAATTTATGTGATACAATTCTACTGTAGAGGGATCTGGAAAACAGTTTAGCTATGAAGCAGTGGTAATTTTGCTGATAATATGTAAATATGTCCATATTCAAAAGAAAAGAAATAGGCAAGGTCTGAATAGAAACTGCTTTCTGAATAGAAACTGATTTGTAGTGATGTCCTGTGATCTTGGGGGCAAGAGCATCTGTTTCAGAAGAGGGGAATTTGAAACATATGTTACCTAAGCAGTATGCATGCATGAGTTGGGGATGTTTAGCGTGACTGTAATTTTCTTAATGAAGAACCATGTTGCATGTTAATCTTTACAAATGTGGAGACATCTCATATAACCTAGCATGCACAGGAGGAAAATGGGAATGATGGCACTGGTATTGAATTTTTCAAAAGCAAGTCAGAAAATACTGAAGGAATGTTTCAGAAATGCAGTCCAGAGAAATGTTGTTGATTTTGAGTCTTGATTTGATTCTTCTCTTTCTTTCTTTTTTTTTTTTTTTTTTTTTTTTTTTGACTGAACACCAAGTGATAATATTTTCTTTTGTGGCTAAAGACTTAACAGATTGCATTTGCTTGGGAACCTAAGGCTGCCTGTTCTCTGATGCCTGTGTTGTAGACATCTTAGTCAATCCTGCATTGCAAGTGCACCTGATGCCGTGGTTTTTCCTTGGCTCCTTGTAGCTCCTCTCAAGAAGCTGCAGAGAGTTTCCTTGACTTCCAGCATGGCTCAGGGCCAGCCTGCTCAGCCTCCACCTTCTGAGACCCACCATGTCTTTGTCTGTGCCGTCCCTAGCTCCACCTGCAAGTGTGGCTGGAATACCCCCAGCACTGGTGTGACTGACTGACCCTCCCTGGCCTCCTAAAGCACGTTGTGGAAGCAAGAGCTGACGTGTTTTGAAGCCAGCAGAGCATCTACAGATGTTTTTACTTAGGGTCAATAATATTTAGATGCTGATGACACTTAGGAACAGAGGAATTACTCATGATTCTGTGTCTGTTGAAAAATGGGATGGGATTGCCAAAGCATGCAGCTTTATAGTGCTCATTGTAAATGACTTAGTTTTGCATTTGCTCCTGCTGTGTTCTAGGAATGAGGCTTTCTCCATAGAGTACTGTGCCTTTTGTGTATCCTGTGCACTAAGAAGGGCAGCATTGGGTTATCCAGTGTTGGGCTATTCTTGCACTATTTGCTGATATTCTGTGTTGCTATAGTGACCTTTCTTCAAAAACAAAAACCCAACAACTTTGAGTTTATATATTACCCCCCCCCCCCCCCCCCCCCCAAATCATTAAATACAAAAGAAGTTAACATGTGAAAAACAAGGAAAGTTCTGTGGTTCACATACACCTGAAAGTTTGTGTATGTGCATGTATATAATTTGTATATAGAGCTCTTGTCCTGTATATATTGTGAAGATTTATAAATTATGTAAGATATACATATAAAATTACAAGACTTTTTTGGAAAAAAAAACCAAAAAGAAAAAAGTAAAATTTTTAAAAACAGAATTAATTATTTTTAGTGGTTTTGAGCAACCTAGGCCCCAAAGAATCAGTGTTTTCCAAAAACTTGTCCAAGTTTATTGAAGCTGTCAGTCAGTTTTCAAGGTGGTGACAGAGGCAATGGTTTCCTATTGAAATATCCTTAACCTGGATCCCAAGTCCCAAAGCCAGACAGAGTTGATTACAGACAGGCAGTGAAAGCTGGGGTTCCTTAGATCGACCTGTGACACAGACTGACAAATACTGGTCTTTTTTTTTTTTTCTTTTTAATGCTGCTTTTTGAAGCCTAGATCTTTCTCTGTTTTAGCACATTCTTGTTTCTCCTGGGTGCCCTGCAAGTCCTATGGTATGTTCAAGGAAAACATCACACTGTTGTATTTCCAACAGCAAGTGATTTCTGTGTGTGCATTGTAGTTAATTTCTTTTCCATTCTTCTTCCTTTCTAACCTGTGCAGAGTAAGAAGTCAGCTACTGAAAACAGAGCAGAGTGGAATTGAAGAAGAAATGGTAGCCAGCTTTGGTAACCTTACAGATGTGAATACTGGATTAAATGGAGCAGCAGGACCTCGTGGGAAGGTGAGATTCTATATGAGTGCTCTTTTCCCTCATATGAACTGCTAAATCACTGGATCAATTGCATTCCATTATTGCCTTCTGTTTTGTTTTGTTTTGTTTTGTTTTGTTTTGTTTTGTTTTTCTCTTTTCATAGTTTAAGAGGATGGAATTTAGCAGTTTCAAAATATGCTTTCCAGCAAAAGTAACCATATGCTTAAAGAGAATGTCTAAAGCTATTAATGATGAATCATTTGGGCATGGCAAGAGTTCTTCAAAACAGTTTGTCAGTGCTGGCCAAGCAAAGTCTTTCAGCAGGAGATGAGACAGCTATGCCACCATGCAAATGAGACAGGCTTGAAATATGATGAATCTTCTATCTCCTTTTCCTACTCGACTGACACTCGCTTTGAGGAAGGTTGTAAATGCAAGAGAGATTGTGGTATAATTCCTCAGACTGGCGTTTCTGCCCCCCAGTCACTATTCGATTATCTTCCAAATTGCTGTGTTTCAGAGAGATAAAGATTTTTTATGGCTTGCTGACTTGAAACAACCAGAAGAGCCAGAAAAGAGATGGCTAACCGGCCATGCATAGTAATTCCATTGGTAAATGACAAAATCTTTGTTTGTATGACATTTCCAAAGTTACTACAGAAGATGAATCTAAAATACAAAATGTCACATTTGGCATGCAAAACTATCACAATATATTTCAGTATAAAATTCATAGAGGCGTTTAATTTAGAATGTGTTTAATAACGAAGGCTGCCTGCATCAGTAATCCTGCCTTGAGGTTTAAAAAGATTGTCTTATTTATTCATATAATGTTAATTTTTTTATATACGATTCAGAAACCAAAAATATTAAGGTTAAATCTTCATTGTTAATTAAGATTTTCTAATTAAGCTGAAAATAATTGTCATTCAGATTAGTTGTTAAGTATGGTTTGTGTGGAGAAACAAAAGAAGTTTAACAAATTCAACTGTTTATTTAACTGCTTAATTTAATTCCAGAAGCTTTCTATCTATATGGAAATATGCTATCTCTTCCAAAATAAATCCAAGACAGGATTAAAGAAGAGATTATTAGCTACTGTGAGACCACTAAACCTAGTAGTCAAGGTAGCCATGTGATTCCTAAGTGTGGCATGGGTTCTGATATCCAGTTGCATTAAAAGAAGACCTAGCACTAGTGTTTCCTCAAAATATGCAAGAAATTGATTTCTTGGGGAAAAGAGAAAAAACAATTCTGATTTTAAACACTATATAATTAGTTATTGCAGAAAGGGTTTCATCCATTCAAATCAACATTGGAGCCTAACTGGGAGTCCCTGTTGTGCGCCAGACCCTGCAGATTGCATTTGGGCAGCACCAAAATATCTTCTGGTACAGTGGGACAGACCCTATACCATTATTCAGGGAAAGTTTGGTAAAGGCCATGCCGTTGTGCCTGTTCCCCTCCACAAACCTCCACATTGGCAAGCTCAGCATACAAGGAAAGCACCAGAAAAGCATTTCCTTACTAAATATTCTGAAACTCAGACAACATCTTGTCAACAGCAAGTGGCAGATGTTTTCTTTTGTCTGGACTTGGAATAAAGGTGCCCGTAGGGAGTTTTTATTAAACTCTACACGTGTTGCACTTTGATTACTATTTTTAAGAGAATCTGATTATGATAATCAGAAGGTGAAAGGATAGTCTGCATGTGGCACAGCAGTAATAGCTTTGACAAGGTTAATAATTAGTATAAAAACATGGCCTGCCGTGTTCACTCTGTGCCTGCAGCCTGCTCATCACATCATGTATTGTGCCAGTCTTGAAAAGCAAGCTGTATTTTTGAAGGTATAGTTTTCCAGTTAATTCTGCCTCATTATTGTAGGGTAGTGTCTTCTGGTGTCATACTTCACCAGCTCCACCTCCCCCCGAGGATGCTGAACATTTTATTAGTAGTATTTATATTGTTATTTCTTTTATCTGCCATCTCTATGACTTTTGACCTCCCTAATTGCAGATCCTCCGTAAGCAGGAGGTAATTGCAGGTTGAACAAGAAGCGTGTTGTCTGCTTTTCAGTAGTTATTTTCTGGAAGAAATTTGTCCTTGCTAATTGTATGGTTAAGGTGAGCCCAGCCCAGATCAGTAACTCTGAGCCTTCTCCCTAGGTTGACCGCTCCAAGATGCCACAGCCACTAGAAATTCACCTCAGATGCCTGAGGGGAGTCAAAGATAAGGTCCCTAAAGGCCTCTACACTCTCAAAGTTTCTGTCCTCAGCCGCTTAGGTGGTGCCTTGGTGGAGTGGCCTGAACTGGAGGAGCAGCCTCAGGCCAGGATGACACGGCCTGTTAGTCATGGTGGAAACTTCTACAACACTGAAATCTACTTTGGACAAAGTATCCAGACAGTAAGCAACACTTCATAAATATGCTGTCTTTGCTTTGAAAGTTAAAACACATCCGCCCTTTCTCCTTTAGGCTTATATATTTAATGCATTCCATCATTTTAATAATTTATTTAATAATCTAAGGTGCAATTTAGGAAGGTGCATTTTTTTCCCCCCAGGTTAACCCTCATCACTCACTTTAAGGGTGCCAAACATACGCTACATCATATAGTGTTGTCAGCTAATTTTAAATTTTACTTTTATTCTCTCTTATCTATGCAGCTTGTCAGCTATGTAATTTGATTTCTGTAAAGTAGCTTTAGAATAATAAATGAATGAGTGGGTGTATATAAACACATGAATGCCCAAATCCTTCTGTGAGTTTTTAGCTCCATTGACCCCCATTTGCCAAAAAAGCAGCATTTGGATTATTTTGGAAGGAGCCCAAACACTTGAGGCTCTATTCTGTCTTTTGCAACTGAGGCACACATATTTTCCTGCCTAAGCACGCTGTGCATGACAGGATTGTTGTGTGTCAGTTGCTCACTGTTGTAGCTAATGCCTGATGCTGGTTGGAACACCGGTTTCAGATAAACTCTCTGGCACATGAAAGCTTCTTTACAGTTTGAAAAACAATCTTCATCTCTCTCAGTGTTTTTTTTTTTTTGTTTGTTTGTTTTTGTTTGGTTTTTTTTTTTGGTTTTTTTTTGGGTTTTTTGTGCATGTTATGAGGCATTGGTAGAATGAGGAGTCTTTTCTGTTTTCAGTTGTTTATTTTGTGGTATGACCTGAATGGTGGATTTCCTCCTCCACATGTTCTGTTGTGTAGATCCAGAGCAGACAGACAGCACCTATCCCAAAGAGCTTTCAGATAAAACAACTTTTATGTGTGGCACTAATGCCTTCAGTTACTTGCAGATAGATAATTTCAGATGTTGGGTTTGTTATACATAAAGTTGTGCTAAGTCACATTTTCTGCTTTTTAATTGTTTATCACCTGTAATTGATAATGAGCAGAGTCTGTAAATACAGCTATTGGTGCAAAAGGAATTGCAGGTATACAGAGGGAAACTGTGAATGGGACTTTCACATGATGTTAAAACAAATCCAGGCATCTGTCAGAGAAATCACTGAGCTGTGATTCCCTCCCAGGCAGAATGCACCCATCTGGGTCACTTTCCTTGGAGTACTGTCATGAAAGGAGACAACTGGGTGTTAGGGCTGAAGGATTCTAGCATGTCCTGCTTCTTACTTTCAGCATCACATTTCTCCTAGGTCTTTGCAGATTTTGCACTTTCAGATTTGCTTCCAAGTTTTCTTGGAGCTTCACAGGGGACATTTAATTATCATCTTCACCAAACTTCATTTTTAGACTAGTGAACTGGCATGCAGGAATTGGGCAAGTTCCCTTAAAATATAGGAACAGGAGAAGTTGGATGCAATGACCTTCTGGTAATCCCCTATCTTCATTACTCAGTGATGTATAGCAAAAGCCATAATTTTAGAGAACCCTCTTCACCAGCTCATTTTGGGGACACAGGGTATGTTGTACCCTGGATGACTCTACCTTTCTGCTCTTCCACCTTGGCAGTGGTTCAAAACCTTAAGGTATGTTTGAGAAGAAACTTTTACTGTGTGTGCTGAGACATGAGGCAAATTTTACGCTTCAGATGGTTAGCATCTGCCACAAGACTTAGGGTAAGTAGTGAGGTCTTAGTGGTGACCTCCATGTGAGCACCTGGGTTTGAACAGAATCTTACACACAGCACTGCTGCACTGGGATATATTATGGTGTGAGAAACACAAGTGCTCATAAATGAAGAATATGCTTTTGTTTCCACTGGCCAGAATAATAATAGGAGTTCAGTGTAAACATGGTGAAAATGAAGACATGCATGCTTGATATTGAAGGAAAGCCTAATTTTAACTAATATATTAGAGAAATTGTTCCAGAACACTACATCCTTCCAAAAATAATAACCCTGTCATGTCAGCAAAGTTGGTGTCAGCGTGGGTTACCTGCTGCGTACAGAAAGTGCTGGTCATGTAAGTTAGATCTGCCTCAGGGCTAGTCTGACTTGCACACCCGACCTTTCAAAAATGTTTTTTGTTCATTAATCAATGTTCTTTGCTCCAGCTTGCCAGCTTCCCCTCTTTCCGCTCCTTCATTGTCCTCCTTTTTAGTTTGTCAACCTACCTCCCCCAGTAACCTCTGACTACATACTAGACACAGGCTCCTAATAGCTCCAGTTGAATTTTATTTATCCTTCAGTAAGGCCAGACAGTCACACAAGCCATTTATTTTTTTTAAGTTATGCTGAAAGAAACATATATGAACGCTTTGGATTGTGGTACAACACGATTGCTGTTTCAAATGACTTTTTACGATTTTATGAATAGCAATGAACTGCATGATCTGAAGGGAACTTGTTTTAGACTCAGCATTTCTAGGATATTTTCATGTATTTAGTTTACGTAAGTAGGCTTTAGGCTTTGATAGATTAAGTCGGTATGGTTTAGGCAAAGTGAGAGCTGTTCTGAAGTTTCACCTACATTATAAAACGAACTCAATGTGAATTTGAGATTAAAAAATTGTGGTATAGGTCAACTGGTGGTGAAGAAGCTTTGTTCCTAAAATTCCAATATATTTTTGCACTGCCAGTTTTTTTTTAGGTCTGGAATGGAAGTTGAGTAAGGAGAGGATAGGCAGGGAGATGAGATGCTTACTGTGCATAGAGTAAGGCAGTTATGCAGCTAGGTTGTCCTTGGCAGGACCTGTACAGATGTGGCTGCATCATCTTTACACTAAAACCAGGATTTTACAGGTGTAACTTCCTTATTGCCGTCTCATGGTGGCTAAGATCCTACTATAGATAAGACCTAAGCAGTGAGTAATTTTTTTTTGATCATGGTGTATTTAAAACAGTGTTTTACTCCACAGGATTATGTCCCAGTGTTAGCAAGTCCAGATTACATTTTTAACCTTAGTGATGACTTGAAGAGCACAAAGGAGTTGCAGTATGCAAAAGTTTAATTTCACTTGTAAAAAGAAAGTGCTTCGATTGTTTTTTCTTTTTTTTCTTTTTCCTGGCTGGCTTTTCTAAAGTTCAGTAGACATTAAAATAATTGTATGAAACAATTACAACAATAAAAACAAATCTTCACTTTTCAGAATCATAATATTCATTGGCTTTAATGGAATAAAAATTGGAGTGTCATAAAAATGCTTCTATTTTTTAAAGAAAATTGATTTTCAGCTATAATTTCAATTATCAGGATCAAAATATTTAGTTGAAAATTGCTGACTTTGCCTACAGGGTAGGAACCTTTAAGGAATGTGTCCCTATTTCAAGTATTTGCAATTTCTGAAACACTTCTTTAGAAAAAAATATTGCCTATTAAGTGGAATTTTTATTCAGAATGGGAAGTTTATGTAGGAAATTTCCAGCTATTGTGAAGGGCACTGTAAGCCAATGATGCTGCCCGCAAGTGACATTTAAAAAACACTCATTATGCTGTCCAGTCACCTGGGAAGTCAGTCCAGCTCTGCTGAACAGAAATAGGGAAAATTGTGTCAGGGCTGAGCTCCCCAAATGGGTTTTTAACCCTGGTCTCGCTGCATCCATTTGGATTGATGAATCCTCATTCTGTGAGAGACTCTCAAAACTGGCACTTCAGCAAAGGAGGTGTGAGCTCCACAAGTGTGTCAGGACTGGTGCTACACATTTTCCCCAACATATCTGGAACTTGGGATGGTTCCAGGAATCTGTTCACGTGCACGAGAAGATACCTTTGCTGACAGAACAGTTCACAGAACTGAGGGTTTTTAAAGAGTTTATCAACTGGTTAATATTTATGTATCAGCGTGGCGAGGTACTAGCAATATTATAACAGTAGCTGGGTACCATTTTGTTTTACTTGAGGGAAATTCAATATGAATAAAACAGCAACTTTTCAAACATGACATTTAATCCACTCATGTAAATCATACCAGGAGATCTATTATTCATTATTAAAAGGGCACCATATTTTTATTATACTGAAAATGAAACACAAATGCTGTGAAAAATTTAGTGCCTTTTCCTGAAGTTTCAGGACACTTATCATGCAGTCATCTAGCAGGGGCTGACACTCATTTTAAAATATAGCTACAAAATTAATAAATTTGAACTCTTTTGCTTGGAACAAGAGGATGTTCTATTTCACTGAATGAGGGATTTATTATTTATTTAAGCCTTCCTAAATACTTCAGATGGCATAGTTCTTTGATAATGTTCACATTTGGAGTTAGATTTGTAGCGAATAAAGTTCATATCTTTGTTGTTATTAGTCATTTCCAGCATTTTCTTCCCTGAAGTGTATTTTGAAAACTACATATATCAGAAACTGATTAACATGACCTTAGGTATTAATTCTTAAAATATGATGAAGCAAACAGTTTCAAGGACATTATTTTCTGTATGTCAGCAGCTGTCTAAGGACTGTGATGCTTTTAATAATTACAAAACAAGGTATCATTAGGAAAAGTAGACCACAAACTTCCCTTTCCCCTCTCCTCCTCTCCTCCTGGTTTATTTTATTCTTGAGTGAAAGGCTGGCACAAGTGAAGAACATCTAGCTCTAGGACACTTTATAGGATATAACATAAGAATTTTATACAATAAGAAAAAAGATAGTGCTTGGCAGTGCCAGAGGACTTTCAAAATGAGAGCCACTTAAATTTTCTCTGGATGCAATTATTTGTAGTTGGGATGAAAAGGTGCTACGTGAACCTTTTGGTAAATTCAAGAACTAAGCTTATACAGATGCTTGTATTCATTTGAAGACTGCAATGCTGATAATTTTTTTCACAGAAAAGGAACTCATAATTTTACTGCTTTTATTTTGTTTATCTGAGTTGGGGGGGGGTCTGGTCTTTGCCATTTGCTGGATCTCTCTGCAACAACTCCTCAAAATGCACATTCTCAGAGCAATTCCTACAAAGCTATTACATATTAGAATCTGTTGTGTCTACTTTGTTT